AACTGGCTGATGAGGTGGTGCACGTGAATGGTGTGTGTTCAACCTCACCTACGGCAATGATGATGGACACTGGAGCAGCGCGATCATGCTGTTTTGAGGAGCAGCTCTTCGACGAAATCAAGCCACTCGACCACGACATCAACGTCATCATGGCGAATGGATCAACCGCACCAGCAATGGGTGTCGGCTGCATCAAGTTTACCTGTGGAGAGATCAACAAAGGCAAGAAGAAGGTCATGGTGGACAACGTGCTGTATGTGCCCAAGCTCAAGTTCAACCTGCTTTCTCTTGCTCACCTTATCGACGATTACAACGTCAAGCTCGAGATTGATCATGGCGCTGCGTTCCTGAAGGCAAGGAGAGGAGATATGTACCCATTGATGCGTGAAGGGCGATTCTGGTACCTCAACATCTACAAGGACCCGTCCGACTGCCCGAATGCGACCGATGAGCGAGTGGTTGACGTCATGGAGCAGCCGCACACACCATCGGTGGACGATGACAATGAAGAACCGACGGATGTGATGACAACAGACGTATTAGTCGCGGAAGTCGTCACACAAGAGCGATTGCATCAGCGATTTGCCCACGTCAACGATGGATACCTCAAGAAACTACCTGAAGTGACAAGACACGCACCAACGGCAAAAAAGGAGAACAACAGTGACGACGAGAAGGCCAAGTGTGAAGTGTGTTTGAAGGCCAAGATGAAGCGACTGCCGTATGCAGGAGATGCGTATCGACACCAACACCCTGGTGATCTCATCCACGTCGACCTGTCACAGATCAAGCAGCCAAGCGAGAGAGGATACAAGTATCTAATGGTGGTGGTCGACGATGCATCAAGGTGGCTGCAGACTTACTTCCTCAAGAAGAAATCGGATGCCCCTGCCGCATTCATCCAGTACTGCATTGCAGTCCGCATGCCTAAGGCAGTGAGGACAGATGGAGGGGCGGAGCTTATCAAGGGCCAGTGGAAAGAGTTCTGCGAGACAAACCAGATACGACAAGAGAGGAGTTTGCCATATCATCAGTCCCAGAATGGAGTGGCTGAGCGAGCCATTGGTGTGATTTGTGCTATGGCGCGTGCACTGCTATTCACTGCCGGCTTACCCGCATCTTATTGGTGTTATGCGACAGCCACAGCGACGTACATTAAGAACCGCACGCCAACCGCAGCCAACGAGAGAATGAAGAAACCACATGAGCTCTTCATCGGCTATCCACCCGATGTCGGCCACATCCGCACCTTCGCCTGCAAGGCACACATCAACCAGAGAAAAGAGACGGTTGGCAAGATGGACCCTCGCACGCAGATCGGCATCTTACCTGGGTATGACCCAACGACTAATGACGGCTATCTGGTGTACCTGCCGCACACACGGCAATTGGTGCTGTCACGCGATGTGGTGTTTGACAAGGCAATACTGCCTGGACAAGAGAAGAAGCCACGAGCACCACCAGCAATCGATCTCATCTACCCACAACGACTCGAGACATCTGTGAGTGAGCCCTTACCAGCAATCGAAAACATACACGACGACAACAACGAACCACACCAGCAGCAGGAGACAAATGATGCCCAAGATGACATGACGATCATTGAAGAAGACGGCAATGGTCAAGAGGGGGAGGAAGACACTGATGAGCAACAGACAAGAACGACAAGAACAACGGATGAGCGACGCATCCCTGGAGGCGTCTATAAAGACCACTTCTTCGATCATCCTGACCTGCTCTTTGTCAATGAAGATGGCGAGATGACAGAAGACCCATCGAAGGACGACAAGACCGCAGATGACTCATCACTTTCACAGCTGTTTCAGCCAACCATACCGAAGACCTATAACCAAGCCATCAAGTCAGCAGCAGCAGACCAATGGAAAGAAGCCATGGATCGTGAGATGAAGTCGATTGAAGACCTGGGAGTGTTTGAGTATCTGCCGGCGAACGCCGCAACGACCAAGATCGTCTCATGCAGATGGGTATTTGCCCTCAAGCCTGACAAGTACAAGGCTCGCATCGTCGCAAGAGGATTCAAACAAGACGGCAACCAAGTGGATGACGTGTTTTCCCCTACGCCCTCCTACCACATTGTTCACTCAGCGGTTGCCCTGGCGAATCAACTCAACCTGGAGATACATCAAATGGACATCAACACAGCATTTCTCAACGCCCCGCTGGACAAGCCTGTCTTTATAAGGTGCCCACCTGGATATGAGAGGCCCGGCCATCTTGTTCGTCTACGGAAGGCATTGTATGGCCTCAAGGAAGCCCCGCGCGCATGGAACATCACCCTTCACAACCAACTATACGACAGAGGGTTCGTTCGCCACCCTCAGGAGCCCTGTGTGTACCTGCATAAGAACAACAACATCCTTCTTGTGGTGTTCGTCGATGACATTCTCATCGTCAGCGAACAAGAGGGGGTCACCTGGTTCAAGCAGCAGATGTCGAGTGTGTTTGCGACGAAGGACCTGGGCGAGGTTGACATCTTTCTCGGCCTCAGGATCATCCGCGATCGTCAAAAAAGGACCCTGCAGATCACACAGCCACAGTACATCGACAAGATGCTCAAGAGATTCAGCATGGAGAATGCGAACCCAGTGGATTTCCCTTGTGTGTCCGGTATCCAACTGACCTCTGAGATGTCACCGAAGACGGACGAAGACAAGACGAAAATGAAGAAGGTTCGCTATCGGCAACTCGTTGGCGCATTGATGTTCTGCTCGGTCACGTGCCGCCCGGACATCGCCTATGTGGTCAAGGAGCTTGCACGATATGCTCATGAGCCCGGTTTTGGGCATTGGCAGGTAACAAAGAGGGTTCTTCGCTATCTGAGTGGGACAAAAGACAAGGGGATCGAGTTCAAGGCTGAGCCAGGCAAGGAAGGTCGGATTGATCTGACTGCCTTCTCTGACTCGTCTTGGGCTGATTGTGTGGGTCGCAAGTCTAGTGGTGGTCATGTGGTGTTTGTGTGTGGTGGACCTGTGTATTGGAGTGCGAAGACTCAGCCACTGGTGACGCTTTCGTCAACGGAGGCTGAATACGTACAGATGAGTGAATGTGCCACTGCCCTCGTATATCTGGCGTCATTTTTGCGTGGCATACCTCTTTTTGGTGTTCGGTTTGGGAGTGCATATCTTATGGCTGATAATAGGGGAGCTATCCTGAGCGCACAGAATCCGATAGTCAGTCACAGAACGAAACACATTGACGTGCGTTATCACTACATACGT